AAGCCAGGCAGGGGGGAAGAGACCTGGAGGGGGTGAGGCCAAGGAACAAGGCTGCAGAGGCAGGGAGAGAGTTTTGTTTGAAAATTTATTGGAAAAACGCAATACAAGAAGCAATACTGAACACTTACGCCTGTCTAAATGCTACGGCAACTTTCCCTTTGATTTACTATGAAAGTCCAAAATAACAGCTCCCATCACTAGTCAATCTATAAAGATTTGCCAATTTTCAAAGTTCCTATTTTTATAAAGAAGAGTGTAAACGGCTAGCCTAGACAATTCACAATTGCCTTAAAAAATTTTACAAAGCTCCTTCATATTCTCAACTATATTATTTTAATTTTTTTTTTTTTTTTTTTTACAAGTTTCAACTCTAAGGCTGGGACACTACCACCTCTTAAGGTCATCGTACAATTAGGAAAATCAGGAAACCACAGTTTATTAAAATCAGAAATCAGTCAGTCCTTTGCTAACACATCTGCGTTGGTCAGAGATCGCTATTTGGCAACCGGAGCTGCCGTTCCAGTTTAATGGAGGAGAACACGAGCTCCTTGCCTTCCTTTCTATAAAAACATTCATTCATATATAAATAGCTTCCATATAATGTATATTATACAATCAAGACAGTCTCTGGGTGAATTTGTGGAGTGGGAAGAGCTGGGAACATTCATATAAATAGACCTTACTTAGCTGGTTTGTCCCTAGAAATGACACGGCACGCTAAGAGTCAAGGATTTTAAAAACCCGTCGGAGGTGGACGGGGTGCGGGCAGCCCCGGCTGAGGATGGAAGAAGCTTCTTCTGCTCTTAACTTTCATCTTCTTCCCAAGCTGCCGCTGCTCCTGTCCAGCTCCGGGGCTCGGGCGCTGCAGGCAGGGCTGGAAATCCCCCCGGGGGTCAGACAGCAGGGTGATGGCAAAGGTCAGACGAGGCGATAATTTGTTTAAAATACTCAAGAAGCAAGAATTTAAAAGTGTGTGTGTGTGGGGGGAAAGTGTGAGAATGAACAACCTGGAAACAGGCACCCAAAATCCAGGAAAAAAAAATAAAGTTAGGGTTATTCTAGTCTACGGGCCCTGAAAAAGGGACGTACGCAGCCACGGTGAGCACATCCTTCGGGAAGGGAACCACCTCTCGTGCCAGCAGGTTCGTCACCCTAGAATTTCCCTGCTCAGGGTGTTTTGTCCTGCTCAGGGTGCTCAGGGCACAGGACCCCCCACCTGAACACCCAGGGCCAAGTTCCCCTTAAATTCTCCTGACGGCCAAAGTGCCTTTAAGTGCTACGGACAAACTTAATTTATCACGCTGGCTTTGTCTGGTACAGCTCAGAAATCCTCTTAATGACTACTCCGCGTGCCCGTTTACTCCTCAGGTAGCTGCTCCAGGGTGAGAAGGAAGGACTGAGTGGCAAAAAACCTGAATTCCCAGAAAAGGGACATCGCCAGAGGGATGCTCAGCATGACCATGGGCGTGATGGGCGTTTAAGGCAAGCATTACCCAAGTAAGTTGAGGGCAGGAGGGACACAGACCTGTTAAAGGATCCGTGTTGCAGAATAAGGAAGGAAAGGGCTGTTCAGACATAAATAGGAAGATTTAATCTCTACGCTACAGCTGCGGAGCCCAGGACTCCCTAAACCCCCCCCCCACAAGTGGGATGCCCGGTGGAAGGCAGAGCATCACGGGAGGGCACCGCGCACCCGGAGAAGCGGGTACCAGCATGGGAAGGCTGGAGGCTGAGAAGGACCCGGGGCCAGCAAGGCTCAAGAAAAAGAAAAAAAAAAAAAAAAAAAGCAAAAATCCAGCAGCTCCAGAGTTTTCTCCAATCAATATTGAGAGCTTAATTAAAATTGCACCTGAATCTGAGAAGCTACACTGGCCCCGGTGTAGTTCAAAGGCTGTTTGGAGCTAAACAGCGAGGCGCTGCAGCCTGAGCTAAATCCAGTGACTTCTGAAACACATTATTCAAATTTAAAATAGCAGAGAGCTTTTTTTTTTTTATTGCCACTTTCCTCGCATCCTCAACTGAGGAGCAGCAGCAGAGCGCTCCCTGCCCTCAGCTACCAATGTGCCACACTATATATATATTAAAAAAAAAATAAAAAATCACAACCTCAAAGTGTACTAAAGTGTTCACAAGTGTCTGGGCAGACTCTTTACAAAGCTTGGGTTGTTTTTTTTTTTTTTTTTTTTAAATTTAAATGCTGGAAGGAGAAACTAGGGCACGATTAGAACATTTCCACGAAGCTCAGAAAGCAGCAGCGGGAGCTCAGCCCCCCCAGTGCCATGGAGGGAAATGCATCCAGCCCCAGAAAAGATGTTTTCTGGTCATCCCCACCAGGCTGGAGATGGCCCCAGGGGTCTGTAAGCTCAGCCTAAAGATGCAGACACTAACCCCGGTATTTCATTCCAGCGAGGCGGTCACGAAGCCAAACGAAGTAGAGAGCCGGCGTGGAAGAGGGGGTGGCAGCACTTTCCACGTAGTTTGGCTCTATCACAACCAGCAACATCCGACATCTCCAAAGATTTCTTGTTCAGCCTCTCCAAATACAGCTTACAGGCCTAGGAAGGATTGTCTAAAGGCTTTTAAATTAAATTAAATGATAGTAGGATATAACACCTTGCCCTGGTATACGGGTAACGTGTTTAGCACTGTGAGGGGAGGGGGAAAAAAAACCAACCAAATCAACCCCTGACTTACAAAAAAGCCCCCCTAATGTAAAAATCATCAACACAAACAAGTGAAAAACTATGACACTGGAAAAAAATCAGTTACTGTGAATGCTGCATAAGCCTACCTTAATAGCATTCAGAGTCCAAACACCTTAAACACACACTTCTAAGGGCTTTTTAATTTAATGGCGTCTAGAAAACACAAACAGGTAGGTAGCACTCGGCAGAGACACACAGGAGGAAGGCAAGGTGCTATCACAGTCCTCTTAAAGCTCTAAAATTCACAGTATCAGATACTCGAAGCAACTTTCAGTATTCCTTAAATCTAATCAACTATGAAGATGTGTGCATCGGCTACACCACAAAACCCTACTCTGTGTTCACACATCGGGGGCCTGAAACCCAACAGGGAGGAAAACTCGGGGCGAAGGCAGCAGCTCTGCTCTGCACGCCCAGGGATCGCGGCTGGAGTCTCAAGCTCCCTAGAGCTAAAAAAAAATTAAAAAGCATCAAGAGGCAAATCGGAAACGCTGCACAAAACTGGTCTGACTTTTTTTTTTTTTTTTTAAACTGACTCTCCCGGCAGAAGGACCCATGGCTTTTTGAAGGCGCATACGGATCCCGCACTTGGAATATGAACGGATGCGGCTTATCTCCGTTATCCCCGATGAGGCGGAGGGAATAGGACTTAAAAAAGCGACCCTTTGAGCCCTGCGAGGTGCGTCTGGGTCTGTATCTGAAGAGGCTATGCGTGAGAGGGAATGCAAAATTGAAAACCTGTAAAAAATAATTCAGTACAGTTAGAAATATGGCATACTTTTGTCACTATATATATATATGTATTAAAAAAAAAATCTATATCCAATAGGATCCAGTGGAGTCTGGAAAATCCCAAGTAAAATGTCAAAGCGCAACTCCTAATAAATGATATGAATGTCTCTGAGTGTCAAGTCATGTAAATCCGAGGTCTTTGTGCTCCAGGTAGTTTCTTGGTAGTTTTGCTGGGTCTCTTTTTCCTGGCGTTGTGTCTGGCAGGAACGCTTCCTGGAAAGAGAGACACACGGTAAGTTACGGCTAACCAGAGGTAAGTTTCGGCTACCGAGAGCCGGCTTTCTGGGAGAGAGAGAGGAACCTGCTTCCCTGAATCCGCTGGAGAACTGAAGTCAGAAGGTGAGTCGCCATCAATGGCAGGTGAGAATTCAGGCTCAGAGCCACCTCCAGGCACCTCGGCACAAGGAACGTCCTGCTCCCATCCCTGACGGACCGTATTTTAAGAGCTGCAAGTCCAGGAACCCTTAGGAGACCTCTGCCATTTTCATTTGGCTTTGGACAGTTAAGCTCAACCACAACGTCTGTTAAACCACACTGCCTCTCATCTCGCCTAACTTCTTGTTCCGCCTCCCGAATCCCTGCGCTACCAGGTTCCTTGGGATGAGGCAGGACACACGCAGGGCAACACCACCATCACCGGCGCGGGGCAGGACGGGCTTTACGGCACTGGATTCCTCGAGCAGCTCTTTCCCAAACCCATCAAGACTGCGGAAAAGAGATCTTTCCAGGCAAGTCAGGAGCTCGGGGTCCAGCTCAGGGGTTACCCGGCACTGATACAGGCAGGGGTCTGCACAAACCCTATGGCTCAGCGCGCTGCCGGGGCGGCAAAGGTGCTTGGTAAGGCAAAACGGCCTCGTCACAGGAGCCGCGTAGCTTCTTTTAGGCTTTTTCGGCTCATTTCCACTGCAGGATTAGTCTGTGACTACTTCATCAGCCTTAAATGATTTAATAGGAACAGCTCGAGCGGGACTCATCGGCTAACAATAATAATTTTCCTTAAACTTTGACCATATTTAGCCAAATCTCGCTTGCACTGGGATCGAGTTCCCTGCCCTGGGGGGAAAGCAGGACCCGTCACTCACTCGCACGCGCTCTCCCTACTCACACAGCCTCGCTACTCCTCTGCGATCTCGGTCTCCTGGTGCACAACCACTTTGGTCACCGACATGTCCGGGTGTTGCTCCTTCGCTGCTTTTATCGCCTGCGCTAGAACCTGAAAGAGACTGCATTTCAGAGCACGCCACCGACGGTCCTCAGGGGAACAAGAGGCTATTTCTAACTCTGGGGAGAGAAAAAGAAAAGTGTATCCACTTCAGCCGCACACTTTGGTGACTTTTGGCGGCATTAGATTATTTCTGAAAGGAAAAGCTGTTTTCTAAGAATATACAGCATCTCTCCGCTGCCCCGTGGTAGAAGATGGATGAGAGCAATTAAGCAAACCCTGTTTATTCTTCCAGCAAGTGTGATGAGCACATTTCAGACATCATCTCAGACATTTTCTGTTGGAATTAATAAACTAGTTCTTGTCATACGAATATTCTCCAGCCCCATGATACTTGCAACTAAAATTAAATTCAAAGTATAATCCTCTGATGACAAAAATCATCACTTCCACCACACGCGAGAGGCCAATAAGGCTGACTCATCAGAAAGGTTTCATATAAAGCCGATGAGATTTAATGCAGGTGCTGAGTGCTCTGAAATGACTTCTGGCACTATGCAGCAGCAATAACGTTTCAAAGTTACTAGAAAATTAATGCAGATCGTCCAGATGTCACAGGAAACTTTTATTTCACATTTTTGTGGATTTTTTTTTTTTTTTAAATTGCGTTTGTGCAAAACGCTTCTGGAATCAAAACTTTGCTGCCAACACCAGGTTCAGAGCAGAATTAAGCTTTGGTGGCCCAGCTATACAACTGCGTACCATCAAAGAGGAATTTATTATTGAAATCAGGTTTGAAGTTTTATTTCTACCCCAGTAGAACTTCCCTAGGTTGTTTGCTGGTGAAGTCGTCTTCGGAAAGGCAGCCTGTCTAGTTTGTGCAAGCTCTGAGAAGCTCTTTTGGATAGCACCCAAGCTCCTACCTGGTCGTGGTCTACATCTGCATCTCCTGTGATGACGATCCTCTTTTCAATCCGTGTCTCTGAAATGCCACCTTTTACAGTCTGGTACGAAAGGAAAAGCTACGGTTAGGCTAGAAGTGAAAAGGAATTTAAGTGCGCTGCAGCTGCCTGGGTAAAGACGGTATCCAAAAATAGCGTTACCAAATACTGCTGTCATACCACGGTATCAGAATCACGGGGGAAAAACTGCCGCTGCTCAAAGAAAAACTGTCAAATATTCGTTTTCTTATAACTGAGCCGGGGAAGAGCTTTGACTCACAGTGCAGTTCTTTCCCGTCGTCCCACAGGACAGTCGGAGCCCGTGTCCACAGACTGCACTACAGTTAATGCATAATCCACATCTTAATTTAACACAGGTAAACCCGGGACCCTCGTGCTTTGTTTCACATTTTTGGAAAGGAACTGGGCTTTAAGCTTTTTCTTTTTTTTTTTTAATTATTCAGCTCTGCCCATCTGTCTATCACGTCATTTTAGTTGGTGGTGGTGGTCTGTCACGCTCCCGTGCTGTTACCTTCGTGATCTGCGTGGTGGTGGTGCTGCTGGTGGTTTCCGAAGTGATGGTCTGAGCAGTCAGCAGGATGCCAGGGTCTAAATCTCCATTGCCACCATCTGTCTGTGGGACAGAAGAACATCAGCAGCATGGACAGAAACAGGATCTCCACATTAACGGAGCGGGACGCAATCCGAGGACGGAAACTCCTCTCCGTCGTGGACCGCGGGACAGAGCGAGCTGAGTTATGCCCAGCTGCACAAGGACTGGGCAGGGCTCTGCAGGCTCAGCTCAATGCCCGTGGGCTTTACGGCTGGAAACGCACGGGTGCCCAGAATCACCCAGGGAGGAGCTGTGACACCCCTCAGACGCGGTGAGCTGGGATGTTACCCAAACCTGGGTGCACTGCTGGCCCCACAATGCCGGTCAAGCTCCTCCACACCAAGCTGCACGCTTGGGACCACAAAGGGAGAACAAAGCAGAGACCTACCCCAAATTACACCTGCCATATCCATGGAGGTTCACAAAGCCAGAGAGCACAATCTGCTTCAGAAGGTACTTGTTACCCTCCTGACAGCACCTCACACATCACTCTGAACTCTGCAGAAGCAACGAAAGTCCCGACGTCTGCTGAACTCGGAACAATTTCTTTTATAGTTGGGTACTTGGTTCCCATCCTGCACGACTCGACCTTTCAAGGTCTGCCAAAAAACCTAAAATAAGTCATCCTGCCAACTCATCCTGGCCGCGGCTCCCTTACGGTGCACCACTAACGAACGCTGGGCAGCTTCCCCAGAACCGCGGTGGGACGATATCTGGAGTTACCACAAGGTGGGACCATTTTCCACTGACTGGAAGAAATCGCACAACACGGCACAAGCTGGCGTGTGCAAGGCCGACTTCTCCCAGCCCCGGAGACTCACTTTTCCTTTTCATTTCCCGGTTAGAAACGCTAACAGCAGTAACCGGAGCAGAACTCCTCTATTCATCTGTTCCCTCGCTGAGAAACAGGGCGATGCTCACCACCGCCCGGCGCGGGCACATCTGTACTCCTGCGATCGGGGACGATGCTGAGCAGCCACGGGATTCCTCGGGAATCCCAAATTATACAAGTGTGGTCCACGGGCTACCCGTAACCAAACCTACACCCCACAGTCACTGCACTCCAGCACGGGCTGCTTCTAAAACCACAGGTATAACAAACCCAAGCTAACAAAGGCTTCAAATTTTCAAATAAAACCTATTTTAGATTGAGGATTAATTTTAACCTCAGCAATGAAACCCTACCTGCAATGTTGGTATTGCTCCACTAACGTTTCTAGTTTCCAAACACCAGATACTCCAGTTGCATTTTATACAATACTTCTGGTTTTTAACACCTGTTTCAGGGTTGAAAACTAAAGGACAAGCAAATAATTTATAAACCAAGTTCTGAAGAGGCATAAACAGCAAGGAGAGCAGGGGAAAACAAGACAAGGCATCTCTTGCAGAAAAAGGCCAACTCAGGTTAACTCCGTACAGTCAAATCTACATCCCAAAGCCACCAGTGGCTGAAGATAAATTCTGTTTGCATGCACATCTTGCAAAAATAATTACTTGTCAGGGACAGTAAAAACACCGCTCCTCTAAAAATACCAGATGCACCTGGAAATTGTGTCCGCAGCATCAGCTAACTTCTGCAGTGCGACTCAGATGCTTGGAGAAAAAAAAAAAGGCAGGTGCTGCCGTCTCATCCGGGGGTTTTGGAAACAAAATGCCTACTTGAGTTTAATTAAGCCCCTGGAAAATTAATCAGAACACACCTTACCTGTGCAGCTTCGTAGGTGATAGTCTTCGTCTCCGTGTGGACGATGGGGACTTCCTTCGTGGGAATTTCACTTTTGATGGCACTGGACACGTCGGAGATGGTGACTGTCTGTGTCTTCACTAGCGGTGGCTATGAAATAGGGTTAAAAACATCTCCGTAAAGACCCAGTTAGCGTTTCCACACTGTGACCGTGTCGCTGGCAAATGTTCTGACACTGATCTGATAAAAGCACTGTGGGAACCAAGGTCAGCGTGGAAATCTTTGGTTTTAAGCCTCTGGTACGACACACTGCTCAGAGGGCAGAGATCATGCGTGAGGACTAAACAGCCATTGAAAAATCCTCCAGACCTTCCCCAGCGCCGAGCCCGCAGGTCAGCCCGAGCGAGGCATCAAGGGTTTAACCGGTGTGTCACAATACCACAAAGAAACCGTTTCCGCTGATTATTAACTTTCTAATTACTAGAAGCTCATTGCCAGCTGCCAGTAGAAGATGACCCTCCTCTACAGATGACAATGTCAAGATTAACACAAACCCTGGGCAAATAAACACTCGATCACAGCCGAGAAGCTTTATCCTGACTGCGAAACACTCGATTATTAAAAATCCTCATCAGATCCTAGGTCTTTAACTTTTATTAAATCAATGTCAGACAAAACAGAAACTTGACATCTCGAAAGAGAAACAGGGGAAAGGGGGAAGAGAAATCACGTTGTTCCACCACCTGATAATTATCCAGAAGAAGACAGAGTTAGTTCAGACTCACAGTGTTTTCCCAGAGGGTTCGATATCTGCTCACCGTCCCCAAACCTGACAGATGCCACCGTGATTGTTAGCAGGGGGAAGCGGACACCTATTTAACAGCAATTAATATCAACACTGAAGCAGGCAAAAATACCTCCCACGGTGGGGAGCAGAAAGGGACATCACAGCTCGCGTTCACGATGTAAGAGCACGTTTGACAGCGCTTCAAATTTGGTCTGCTGTGCTAAGGCTCAGCAGGAGCCGGCAAATACCTTAAGGAACTAAAATTCCGTGCCTTTGGAGCCTAAATATTTCCCTTTTGGGGGATGCAGCAGGATGCTTCGATCAAAAAAAGGCAAAGAGCGTTGTGCCGCAGCAATTGTATTTAACGCCAAGATAAATTGAGAGGGGCTTGTGTGCACTGACTGCAGGAGATTAACCGGCTAATTAGCTCCAAGCACGAGTCCAAGCCAAGCAAACGCAACTCCTCTCTGGGTCCGTGGCATCTGCTTGCTGCAGTGTTTGGGTTCCCACTCCAAAGCCAGCCGGGGGGACGTGGGGGAGCAGGCGCTGGGGCTCACTACCTGGAAGCAGCGAATGACTGCCGGCAGCCCGTTATTAACATCTGAGTCGTGACACTCGCCATTTAGCTTTCTAAAGGCAAATCTGTCTTCGCCATCCTCTGCCACCTCCTCCTCTCCTCCCCGGGGCTGCCGGGGAGGTGCGGCAGGGCTGGCGGGGGGCTCCAGCTCAGAGAGCTCCGAGTCCTTCTCCGCGTCCGCGCAAACCCCCTTTCCACATCTCAGGTCCTCCTCGCTGGCGGGGAGGCTGGGAGCTGCCTCCTCCTCCTCCTCCTCCTCGCTGCTTAGGGAGGAAGCAGCAAGGTCACGGCTGGGAGAAGGCTCTGGGGTCTCACTAAACGCTACCGACTGCTTTGAGCCCTCCCACGCAAAGCCAGTGTTAACACTGCTCCTCTCTGGCACTGCAGCCACATCCTCTCGGGAGAGAAAGTCACTCATTTTCTAAAAAGAAACGAATACACAAAAAAGGCCAGAGAGAAAGAGAGAGAGAGAGAAAGAGAGCGTTAGGGAGAACAGGAGGTCATGAAGCATAAAGGCAAAACATTGGTTTCTTATAATATATCACATCTCCAGCAACGCATGCAACAGCAGCGGGTTCGGACACTTGAAAGCTTGAAAACCTTTGTGCTACGGGATGTATCCAGTGCGTTTACTGACACGGCCTTCCCGGTATGTTAATGATCCACCCTCCTAAAGTTTAAGGAATTAATATTAAAAGAACTCTCTGCAACTAAAGGAAGAGCCACCACTAAGCACTTCTTGCCCAGTTTGGAAACAGGAATAATTTCAGCGTAGCAAGCGGGGACTTGCACACATCCAAAATTCACGTGTGCAACAAAACTCACCGACTACACCAAACCCATGCTCCAATTCTGCTTTTAAAAATACTTCTGCTTTAAGTAATTTTACGCTGTGCTTTAACTTGCACGTGGAGGTTGAAATAATAAGCCCGGAATTACTGTGCTCAATAATCCCTGTGCTTTGCTCTTTTCCTCGCCCCTGGGAACGCTCGCACCTCCCAGCACCCTCTGGGATAACTAACACAGCCTTGTCATTACGGCATCGGGAATATTACTGTAGGAGTATCTACAAGTTAGTAGTAAAATCAACTGCTTCAATTACCAAGCGGCTCCCGAACTGGTGATGCAGTCTGGTCATCTGAAAGAATTTGTACTATTTCTTTTAGACAAACTGGTTTGATTAACTCGCACATCTTAGCACAAAACTTTTCAGCTGAGGAATAAAGAAATACGGCTTTAAACTGGAAAGCCAGATGTTCACGCTGACGCGTGCTGACCCCATCGCCACCGAGCACGTGGTTCAGCTGCGTTTGACCATTTAATCGGTGACTACCGAAAAAAATTGTAACATACTTTATCCCAAAAGCACCTGGTGCCCAGAAACCTTTGTGGTAGCTAAAACCTCCTGAAGATACAACAAAATTGGCGTTTGCGACAGTGCACAGGAGAGAAGACGCGTGGTGAAGCAACTCAGCTCTCCGAGAAGCAAGCAAGCGTGTCTAGAGCACCTGAGATACGTGGGAAGAACGTGCCAAGGTTTAACTAAGGCTGGTGCTATTCTGCTCTCCGTCCAGCTCGTTAGCAAGGTCTCATCAACTAGGTCTTCTCACACCTCTGGGAGCCCTCTAGCCAGGAGGGAAGCAACAAGTGACAGAAGAGGAGAGTTAAAACATGAACAAGACAGAAAGCTTTAGCAAAAATCAGCTCCTTGCCCAAATGCCCCAGCGATGAATATTTCATGTGCGCAGAGAAGCGGCATTTCGGTCACCAGCGGTGAAGGATGGCTACGGTCCCGCTCTCCGCTAGAAACTGTGTTTCGCGTTACTGACGTGGAAAGTTGCCTCCAAGGAAGGGCAGAATAAGCAGTTACGGGCACTGACGGTTTTACACGTATCAAAGTTGTCACATCATCCAGCATCAGGGAACAAGGAGGGGAAGAACTCAGAGGGATGCTGCTTAATCAATGCCATTACTATTTCTTCTCAATAATTAACCTCGCGGTTGATTTCTGGTAACTTTGTATAAAAATAGCCACGTATCTGTTCATCCAAATACAGTGATTAAATTTTGATAAAAGCATGGCAAGTCCACTGTTATTCTAATTTTGGGGGTGGTATTAAGACGAAGAGAAACTGTTGCCTCACTTTTTATTAAGAATATTCCGATTCCCAGCCTCTTGGGCATCTTTTAAGTTCTCAGGACATTGCTTAGGAAAACGCATTTAAGGGGAGCGCAGGGACAGCGACCAGCACTGCGGTGATCAGGTCTGACTGCACACACAGGGACAGGTTATTTCTGCTCAAAACCCACTTCCATACGTGCTCCTCCAAAGGTATCTCCAGATTCCACTCTCATTTTGCAAGATACTACACTGCAATATTTCACAAAACAGAACGGAGGTTATCAGCTTTGAATGCCCACGTCTTAATCTTACTTTATTATAGAGTGACGATATACTGATCTTTCCGTAACAAATATGTATATATAAGCTAAATCGTGCTAATTAATCGTAGGATCTTGAGAAGACGCAGTACATCTTCTGGAGTTGAATGGAAAATACTGTAGGAGCAAGATTTCCTCAGATACCAGCTGGGGCACTACTTCGACCAAGAGACAGAATCACAGCTAAAGCAGATTAAACAGCTACACAAATGCAGATCTATTTAAGAGACAAACCTTTGTAGCCAGTCAAAACAACTTCCCAGCTCTCTTTCCTACACAGAAAAGCTAATTTGCATTAGCACAAGGAAGTATCTTGTATGGTAAAAGCATAAAGGAAGGGAAAAGCTTAAATGAAGCCTATGGTGTACATATACGGGCCGTCAGCAAAGTGTGGCAATAAACATGCAAGCTATAAAGAGAGAATGAAATCCTGATAAGATCGACTGATCAGAAGCACTTTTTTTTCCCTTGCCTTCCTATTCCACTGACTAATTGAAAGGTATTTGTTTCCATATAAAATTACCTATTTACACACATTTTAAAAGATGAAAACAAAGTTATATTTGTTCCTATATTTAAAAAACGCAGTTTGCATGTAGGCTAGAAAAGATTATCTTTTCATTAAAAAAAACCACCAAAAACAAGAAACCCAAAACCCTAGGAATTTGAACATCTGTTACAAATTCTGATCTTATCAAGATTTATTTTAATTTGCAAATGCAAAAGCATTCCTATTTTTAGGGCTCAGATTTGTGGAGTTCCAAGCTCTCCTTGAGACCCATGAAACCTGAGAGTCCCTGAGCCGCAAAAATCCTCCTCTCCTGAGACACAAAACCAACCCAGCGACACCTAAATCAAGCACGAAGCACGACTATTCGCAGAAGCCATACGCAGCATAAAGAAAATACAGGACAGGATGCAATGCCCCAGAAAAAACACATCCAACCAGACACAAATGCAACTAAACCGTTACCCTGCTAAACCCGGCTCTGTGCACCCGATGGTGACAAACGCGGAGGACACAGCTTAAGCGGTACGGTGTAGTAAGTGACACACAGTAATCCAGACTGGGGATAAATTAATAACAGGTTTAATTGCATGGCTGCTACCATGCGACCAAAAGGGTATTTTTTTTTTTTTCCTTAAAAAGTGGTTTTGTATAAATTTGTTTGCCTGTATTTTTTCAAGAACCTGTTATTTTGGATCAGGATAGATTCGTACGAACCAGCTGCCAGTGTGGGTACCTGTTTCCTGCAGCCCGCGCAGGGATGCTGCTGCCCCTCCCCTAGAAATACTGAATTGTCCCCATCCCAAACCAGACTCCTATCCTGCAGGGAACTTAAG